TGTGGATTAGAGATGTGCACTGTAGTGATTTTGACTCATAAATTATTAAAATAAATATCATTCCTCAAAAGATAGTTATGAGGCCAGCTGTTCTCTGTCAGCCAGCTGTGTAAAATCTAAATATGACCCGTCCAGGAAGCCATTTCAAACAATTAAGATTACCGTATATACTCGAGTATAAGCCGAGTTTTTCAGCACATTTTTTGTGCTGAAAAACGGCCCCCTCGGCTTATACTCGAGTCAACGTCTGCAGGGGGCTGCTGTCTCTTACCTGGCTCCGGTCCCACGACGATCCGGTCCAGGAAGCGCAGCTGCTCCTTCATTCGGTTCGTCCATTGGATGTCCGCGTGTCTGCTCGGCTCCGCCTTCTCACCGGTGATTGGCCGCCAGAATTGTAGCTCAGGAAAGGCACACAGGCGGCCAATCACCAGCAAGGAGGCGGAGCTGAGCGGCCCCGCGAAAATCGAGTGAAGGAGATGCAGGTAAGTGTGCCGTTCTTAGGTGCTGCTGCAACCACATATGCTGGCTGCAGCAGCACCATACTGGAACAGGGGTCAGCAAGTGTCAGTGGGAGGAATAGTGCCCCATCATTGGTGTCACTGATACCAATGATGGGGCATTATTCCTCCCACTGACACCAACGATTGGGCACTATTCCTCCCCCCCCACTGACACCAATGATGGGGCACTATTCCACCCCCCACTGACACCAATCATGGGATACTATTCCTCCCCCTCACTGACACCAACGATGGGGCACTTCCCCCCCCCACTGACACCAACGATGGGGCACTATTCCTCCACCCCCCACTGACACCAGTGATGGGATACTATTCCTTCCACTGACACCAATGTTGGGACACTATTCCTCCCACTGACACCAATGATGGAACACTATTCCTCCCACTGACACCAAAGATGGGGCACTATTCCACTGACACCAATAATGGGGTGCTATTCCCCCCACTGATACTAATGATGGGGCACTATTCCTGCCACTGATACCAATGATGGGGCACTATTCCTCCCACTGACACCAATGATGGGGTGCTATTCCTCCCACTGACACCAATGATGGGGCACTATTCCTCCCACTGATACCAATGATGGGGCACTATTCCTCCCACTGACACCAATGATGGGGCACTATTCCTCCCACTGACACCAATGATGGGGCACTATTCCTCCCACTGACACCAATGATGGGGCACTATTCCTCCCACTGACACCAATGATGGGGCACTATTCCTCCCACTGACACCAATGATGAGGCACGATTCTTCCCACTGGTGTTCCCACCCTCGGCTTATACTCGAGTCAATAGTTTTTCCCAGTTTTTTGTGGTAAAATTAGGTACCTCGGCTTATATTCGGGTCGGCTTGTATTTCAAAAAGACCTGTTTGAAATACAATGCAGCCAAATAACATCCGACCTTGTGAAATGGCTGGGGTAGACAAAACAGAGTCATAAATGATAATTGTGGGAGACTGTCTTCTTTACATATAACTTTGCAAGGCCAGACAGAAACAGTGTAAGAAATAAAATTATGATACATAAACGAGCACTGGAATTGTGTACAGGGAGCAGCTAGCATGAAAGAACCCCTAAACCTTCTAGAGCACATATAAAAACAGCATGCAGCGCTTAAAAACATAAATATAAAAAACCCCTAATATCAGGATTATTCTCAAGATATGTTATACCAATATCATAGTCTCTGGGGTGGAAAGCCCCGTATAATCTATTGGTATAACATATCTTGAGAATAACACTGATATTAGGGGGTTTTTTATATTTATATTTTTAAGCGCTGCATGCTGTTTATATATAGAAACAATGTAAGGCCTTGTAGAATATTTACTAGCCAAATAAGCCATCAAGGATGTCACAATTGCCTATTCAGAACAAGAGATCAGTCTATGCTGGGAATCCATGCCTATCAGTTTAAATGAGTCATCTGCCTAAGGAAAATAAGTGTTTACCAGAATTAAACAAGACAATATACACTTCCCAAACTCACTTAATCCATGAACTTTGCACTCAAGTCATGAGAAAAAAAAACTAGATTTAAACATATATTCAACTGACATATTCCTAATATATATATATACCAGGACACCGAAATCAATTTAATAAAGTTGGAGACTACAAAAGGATAAACTGAATATCATTAAGTCATGAGGACATATGAGATGGATTGTGATTTGGGGTAAACTATATTTCAAAACAAATGTCACCAACATATACTGTATGTACCTCCATCAGGATGCAGAGAGAGATATGGCATATATAACATAATGGACTGGAGTTAAACGCTCAAGATCTGATTTATTACTGTAACAAATTATGGAAATATTATATGAAGATCTACCATTTTCAGGACAAAGGTCAAACATCAAGACACAACTCTCATATAAGGAAGATGAGCCACTAAATCAACTAATATATATATATATATATATATATATATATATATATATATATATATATGGACCTTATTTAAAAGAGATATTGAGAAAAGCCACTTTCATAATCTAGCAGGACACATACTTTTATCAATAGAACCTTCATCCCTATGGATCACCATTTCATGGAACTTGACTGCCCCCAATGAACAGGTAAAGAACTTCCAGAATAAAAGGCATTCTGACTGTCCAATCGTCAATTACCATGGGAGGTCTTATAAGACAATGGACATTTACCATATATATATGCGAGACACTCATGAAAAAAAAAACGTGCTCTAAAAAAAACGCTCTGCTTGAGAAAAAGCTCTAAAAAAAAAAAACTCGCTTGAAAAACTCTCTTGAAAGAAAAGGAACCTACTCTGAAAAACCTCTTGGAAAAAACTGCTTTGAAAACCTGCTATTTTTGAAGAACAACGATCTGAAGAACGGCTCTATTTTTGAAAATCTATTTTTGAAGAACTGATTTTTAAAAGAAGCTATCTCCGCCAAAGAAGAACTTTTTGCTGCTAATCCAATTTTTACTCATTGCTGAAGAAAGACACTTTTCCCTAACTGTAATCCCACCGGAAGATCTCAGAAAACGTAATTCTGGGAGTGGTGAGAATTGTATCAAAACATCATACATTTTTTATACATTTAAAATTGACTAGAACCTTAATCATAATTCTATTGTGCTAGTTATATTGAGATTGTGCATAGATACATAAATTGCATGGTGTAGGGAGATTGGTTGACTAAAAAATTGCATTAAATATTTTGGGTACTGATATTGTATCGCATTCTAACCTATATGAGTGTTTTGCTGTGCATATTTTAGCCAGAATATTTTCCTAATTCCCTTCGGCAGCGGGAATTTGGAAATTATATCTTGAGAACTAACTATTAAAGAACCTTCCTGCTCTGCATCTTGCATCTGCAAACCCAGGCTAAGGGCAAGTAAACTCAACCCTGTACTTTCCTTCCTAATTATCTCTTTGCTGTGTCTTTATATACATATATATACATTTTTGTGACATCTCTTTGTAAATATGTTATTGCACCTGTTTGACCCTTTTAGTAATAAATCTTTCTTTCTGAAAGTGTTAAACTGTTTTTAAGCGCTTACCTGCAATTCACGAATTCCTGCCTTTCGAAGAGACGCTACTGTTTGTTATATCTCTGTGTAGCAGGTCCGCGGGCTGTGCTATATAGATCAATATTTCAACCAATATAGTGTATATTTGATAACGGGAGTTTCCCAGTCTTCCTTTTTTCTTTAAAACAAAAGTGGTGGTGGCAGTAGAAGGGTTAGTTGCATAATTAACCCGACCCAGTAACAAGCGCATTCAGGCTGCAGGCACCGATTGTAGTCCATTAGCTGGGCAATCGCTGTGCAGGGTGTAGCTGGGTGGGGCCTTGTTACGCACGTCACACCGTGGTTTTAGATCGGCCGGTCCTTTGGTCACGAGTTTGGTGAGAAGGTCTGGGGTCTGACGCCGTGGGTGTGACGTATTACTGTTAGTCGCGGTCGTGCGATTGTCGCCTGTTGTTGGTGGCAACCGTGGATCAGTGACATATTGGTAAGGACTGTTTTATCATTGTAGTGATATATATTTTGTGTATTTATACCATAGAGAGTATTGTGATACATTTTTGATTGTGTGTAAGCAATACTCATCACCAGTAGTTATGTTTGTATTAATATATATATATATATATATATATAAATATTTGTACATAAATGCATTATTTATTTATTTATCAAATCGGCAATATATGTGTATATGGTAAGAAATTGCATTGGTGAACTCAAATAAAAGTACAGTGTGGTGAAAAATCATTAAGGTGTCCATATTATTGGATTATTAATTAAGTTATTTGCCGTATTTAACAGCTGGAGGCACTGCATTATATTGTATACGGGAGTCGGACACTGCCTGATTTATTTATAATTAATTTTCGCAAAGACCACGACAGCACAACGAAAAATTATTTTTTGTTTCAGATTCATTTGATAAGCTAATAATTTAGTTTTGTCATAATCGTTATATTACAATGATTTGTTTTTGGAATTTGTTGTGTATATTCAGATTAATTTTTTATACTTGACGTTCAGAATTGATTTGTATTTTCGGAAGTTACCGTATTTTTTGCTCCATAAGACCACCTGACCATAAGATGCGCCTAGGTTTTAGAGGAGAAAAACAAGAAAAAAAATATTCTGAACCAATGGACTGCAGACACAGTACAGGAGATGACCAGAGACTGCAGACACAGTACAGGAGATGACCAGAGACTGCGGACACAGTACAGGAGATGACCAGAGACTGCAGACACAGTACAGGAGATGACCTGAGACTGCAGACACAGTACAGGAGATGACCTGAGACTGCAGACACAGTACAGGAGATGACCAGAGACTGCGGACATAGTACAGGAGATGACCAGAGACTGTGGACATAGTACAGGAGATGACCAGAGACTGCGGACACAGTACAAGAGATGACCAGGGACTGCGGACATAGTACAGGGATGACCAGAGACTGCGGACACAGTACAGGAGATGACCAGAGACTGCGGACACAGTACAGGAGATGACCAGAGACTGCGGACACAGTACAGGGGATGACCAGAGACTGCGGACATAATACAGGAGATGACCAGAGACTGCGGACACAGTACAGGAGATGACCAGAGACTGCAGACACAGTACAGGAGATGACCAGAGACTGCGGACACAGTACAGGAGATGACCAGAGACTGCAGACATAGTACAGGAGATGACCAGAGACTGCGGACAGTACAGGGATGACCAGAGACTGCGGAGAGTACAGGGATGACCAAGAGACTGCAGACCTTTGGGAAGGGAGGGGGAGCGGGTATCTGAATTTGACATGTACCCACTCCCACTTCCATGGAGTTGTCCTCCCTTTAGTGCGGGCACCCAGCTGTGCCGGGTGCCCACTGCGCATGCGCGAGAACCGCTGCGCTTTGTGAATGACCCGGCGTCATGACAGGTCCTAGAAGACGCTGGACCATTCACAAAGTGCAGCACTTCTCGCACATGCACAGTGGGCACCTGGCTGTCACAGCTGGGTGCCCACACTAAAGTTGCCAGCGCGGGAAGACTGTACAGCGCTTGACCGAAGAACAGGTAAGGTCCTGCTTCAGAGAAGAGCTGAGCGGCTGGCCCAGTATTCTGACATGGTGGCAGCAGCGGAAATACTCCATATTCGCTCCATAAGACGCACTGACATTTTCCCCCCTTTCTTGGGGGGAAAAAAGTGCGTATTATGGAGCGAAAAATACTGTATTTTGTTTTAACATGTTAATTAGTTATTCCAGGAGATTTCTTACTGTATGCACTGTGAGTCATCCCTGCTAGTCCAACCCACAAACAGAAATAGAATGAGGTCATTGGACGATATCCAATAGAACAAATGGAACAAAATTATTTTTTAATTCTTTCATTATGTTCATTTGTTACAAAGAGAAATGGAATTGGCTGATTGTAAGATATCCAAAAGAACAAATGGAACAAAATTAATTTCAGATTCATTCATTATGTCCATTCGTTACAAAGAAAAATAAACTGATTGACAATATCTGAAAGAATGAATGGAATGACATTAATTTTGCATTCATTCATTATGTTATGATTCGGAGATTCTGATGGATCCGCCTCCTTCCAAACCAAACACAATAAATAGAAATCATCGTATTTCACATTTGTACCTTACTGTATTTACTGATATATGTTTCCATTTCATCTGTCGTGCATTTTTGTATAATAATGAAAAATGTTAATGCAAAAAAAATGGATTTTAAAGAACAAATGGAACACAATTAATTTTGGATTCATTTGTCATGTCGTGACGTTATGTTGGATGCTTCAAACATTAACAAAAGGCCCATACTATTGCATCGTGTCATCCAAATGAAACAAAAGAATATGAATGCGTGTGTTGTTTTTTGTTATAATTTATTTTTTGATTCATTGAAATTTGTTATTGTGATTTGGAGATTCGTATACATCCTAATCTCCAAATAACAAAACTGCTGTCCAAATTTTGATTCATAATGAAAAGAATCCCACATCTAATATGGATGCAATATAATACCATCATTTTTATAAACATGTTACTTCTACTCTTACTACGGATAACACAAATGTATCTGGGTTCACTTTAAGGCGGGTTTGGCAAACTTTACATAAGTTTGGGTGCTGAATCTGAACCCTATCAAAGTCAATAGGAGTCGAGTGTTAAAAATCAGTTTTCTCCATTTTCTAGACTAATAGGCAAGGGATTCTCAAATAAATTATATGAGGGGCATGGCTCTGGGCTCTGAGCAGTGATTTTAATAAATCTAAAAGTTAAAAAAATTAAAAATGAAAAATTTCTTTAAACAACATGCCTTGGGGATGTTCTTAACTTGAATGTATACAACCTACTACAGATAAACTGACATTAAAGAAGAAAAAAATTAAAAGGGTATTATGTACCCCTTACTTATTCACATAGGGGGATGGTATCTGGGTACCACCTTATTGTTAAAGGGGGCTTCCAGGTTCTGATAAGCGCCCTGCCTGGGACCTCCACAACCACTAGGCTAGGGTTGTGGAGAAAAGGTCTTTGTCAATATTCACATAGGAAACATGGGAACATGGTGCTTTGTAGCATGGTGCAGTTCAGATGGAGGGGGCAACATGCTCCTCTCCCTCTCTCTTTTTCTATCCTGCCAGGTTGCTAGCTCAGATGAAGGTTTATTGTGATTTTTTTGGGGGGGTGGGTCTCTCATATTAATGACTATAGGTATTGTTTTGTAATATATTTGTTCTGATTTTAATAAGATAATATTACGTCTGTTAATATTTATGTTTATAGTGACATCAGCTAAATTTTGAGAAAATGAGATACATTTGTGGGCATGCCTGGGAGGGACTTATGTCCAGAGTGCAGGAAAAAGTAGCAGGAGGTCCTGATTGGATGCATATATATACCAAATAAAAAAAAAAATCTAGCATGTTTTGATATTCTAGTTACTTTGAGTAATATCTGGACACTCAGAGTTCAGATATTTCCCACTGCTCCCACCATAACTCCAAAGTTAAAACTGGCTTGAAAAACAAATTTGTTCTTTACAGATGATTTGGCTTTTGAAGGACCATTATGACAGAGAAGTTAACCATTTTGATGATCAGATAAAGAAATTGTTTTTCAGAATATGGCCCTGAATGGACTGCCTAGTTTTGAGGAGAAACAGTCTGACTTACAAGAGTTTACTGACGATTATGAGGAAGATTATTGTAAGCAAGAATCAGACATTTATTAGGAGTTTGGTTGCGTACCACACTGGCCAAGAATAAATAAATCAATGGCTTGGACATGCACCTGTCTTCTCTTTCTTCTATTTCTTCACAGCACATTATTTTTTCTCAAAAAGTCAGGGGTATACCTAGGGAAATTCTTTTATATGGTACAACAAAAAAAGCCCTCTCTAACAACACAAGGGTTGTCCTACAGTATTCATAACAACATCAACAACTAACTGTGACCTCAACTGAACTGCTTAGAGCGCAGCTCCAAGCGCTGATCCAAAGCCATCTGGTGATTCACACTGCTGGCTGGTGCCGGCATCCACACTGGAAAGCAACCAAAGCTAAAATAATATATTAAAAATAAATAAGTGATGTAAGCGCTGCTAAATAAAAGCTAAAAATATAAAAGAGTGACATAGCTGAATAAAACATCCATAATGAGTCCATATATGTAAAATCAATCAATTTGTAATAAAGATTCTTCCATAATTCATGTGTTTTCTTCTTGTGCTGATATCCCTAAACACCATCAAGTAAAATAGTGAACATAACATATAGTGCCACCTCAGTGCTCACAGAACTCTCACCTCAGAGCACATGGAAATACGCTTTATGATGTCAAATAGACAAAATGATTCTTCACTTTTTTCAATCCACATCCATGTGATAGTAATCAAACACCTTTGAGCTTTCAATAAATTGTCAAATCAGAACCAGGGATTGGTCCCTTTAAGGGTGATGGAGGTCACACATTCCTATCCTTAAAAGGGAACAAAGGACACTCCCATGGTGCAGTATGTACTAATATAAACATTTATTAACCTCCCTAGCGGTCTGATTATGTCCATATTTCTGTGCTCAAAGCGGTACATTTTTTTGCATGGAAATATGTATTTTTTTATTGTAGGCCTGTAATTTTTAGGAATAACTCACTGAAATCTGTTCAAACAAGAGTCTAGTAAACATCCCGGGTATGATAAAACTTGAAACACAAAATCATAAATTATAATTTAATAAATAATCATAAAAAATAATAATAATAAATGTAATTCAATAATATAATCAAACCAAAAACACTGAAATGTGAAATATAGCGCCAAGTTCGCACATCGCTGAGCTCAGTCGCAGAATTGTTTTCAGTGTCTGATGAGGAATTTCCCCCACGAATCATTATCACTCAATTCTGCAAGTGGTTCTGATTTACTATCGCTGTTCTCTAGCCGGTCTAAAACCGCTTTTGACCTAAAGGGACGCTTTTTGGACGCCATGGACGTTTCTCAGTTTCCAGGCAGAAAGAACAGTAAAAATGCAGGCAGGACACCGGACAAAGCACTCGGGGACAAAATGTATGTGAAATGGTTTGATACAGGAATGTTATACTATGTGATTGTAGTGTATTGAGTGAATGTCACTTTTTGTCATTTTCAAATTTCCCGCCAGTTCCCTCCCCCGTACGTCCCGACGCTCGCAGGGGACGGAACCGGGATGACAGATGCCTGCATCTGCCGGATTACATTGCCGGGGACACTGCAGGGAGGACATCGCAAGGAGCGAAGGACAAGGTAAGTGAAGAACAGATGCCGGAGTAGCGCCGCATGGTAAGCCCGACTGTAGCTCGGGGTTACCGCTTTTGGTACTGAAACCTTACCCCGAGCTACACTCGGGAATACCGTCAGGGAGGTTAAGAAGCAGTAACACACTCACATGTAGTAAATTAATAAAATGCCATAAAATCATCAGATGCCGGCTTCGCTTGTTGTCAGCTGAACTCACTATTCATGTCTGCCCAGAGCTAAGCCCCTTACGCGTTACATCACGCCCACCTGACTTCATCAGATCATCCCTCTGATGAAATAAACTTTGCTTGGGTCACTCATCACTAGTGTTGACTACTCTGTGACCAGAAGTGATGTGGATGTGAGATAAAATTCTAAGTTTAATAGCCATTGTGCTCCTATTTTTAACAGAATTACTTTGAGGAACAGACCAGGTCAGGTTTTAAAGGATTTACATAGCCAAAACATTATTAGATAGAGCTTTAGAGGGAAGGATTATAACCTTTGTCCATCTTTTATTACTCTCTGTGTTCTTGCTATGTAGTTTTACTTTTTGTGTTTGATTTCTTGACTAAATATATATATATATATATATATATATACATATATATATATATATATATATATATATATATATATATATATATATATATATACACAGTATACCAGACACCATAATAAATTAATAAATAGGCTTTTACCACAGCCGTATAGTCAGCATCTACTGTATACATATTTGGTCACATTCCTTACCATGCAACTTCTCACGTTCCTTCTAGAGGAAACAACACCTGACCTGCAATGGACAATAGTTGACCACCATTGGACAATGCAGGAGGAGGGGCAGGCATAAAGGCATGGTGGAAGAGCAAGTTAGGCAAGT